TATCAAATATGACATGGTTTAGACAAAGGTTTTCAGAAAAGAATGCAATTTTAAGAGTCAGATTTCACCAACATAAAAAGAAAGACAAGACTAATGTTTTTATCCTTTTTCCCAAAGTAATATACCTTGATATAGGTGATCAATCATGAACAAGACTCCAGTGATACCGTTAAAATTGGCCAGACAGCAACCTCATTCCTGAAGTTAGAAGCAATACCTGACGGTCTTTTTTATTTAATGTAATCTCCCTCACAGAACATTAAGTACATATTTCATTATCAATGTATCAGCTGCAACAGAAATTTAGAGCAGATGCACATGTGACCGTATTATGTGAAAGAAGGATAAAAGAATTATGTGTCTCTCTCCATCATCAAACCCTAAACCTGTCACACACGTACAGAGATGTACTTGAAACTGGTCTGATTAAAACCCCACGAGCATGGATTAGTGGGAGTGTCCACAAACCACAAGGTAAATTGAACTGATGAAAATATGCACATGACAACAGAAGAGGGGGGAACACAATAGAATGCTAAAAATTAAGGTGGCCTCTATATATTTATATATAATAAAGGAACTGGCTGCAGATACTATCTCTTTCACACAAGCTATTCTATTTTTTCCATAAAACTTTATCCTCAAAGATAAACAAAGTATTTGCCCAAAACCTTTCCTGAAAGGTTAAATTACATCTGCAAAATAAAGAGAAAAAAAACACAAAAAAACTTGTCAGACCTTAACATAAAAGAACGTTGTGTCTTTCTTTCTCTGGTCAAGAAATAAAAAAGATTTCTATTAAATAAGCTAATAATGAGTCATAAAAAACAGCATCCACGGACAATTTGCTTTTGAAAATAACTTGTTATAACAAATGCTAATACAAATAAATGGATGGGGTCCTTAACTTGATTTTGCCACATACCCTTTTCATGCAATCATTGCAGTCAAGTGATTACTCTGTAGCTTTTGATTGCATTTTTCAAGTGGTAGTTTGGCCCTTCCTCTTCAGTAAACTGCCTCAGTTCTCACGAGTTCTTCAGTTGATTTTTCCCAACCCCTTCTGAGTTAAGATCAAGGCTCAAGCAACATTTTGACCATATGTGCAGTATATGTTCACCAAGGAAGAATACAAAAGCATACCCTTGAAACATTTATCCTACTATCTGTCCTATCCTATATTAGAAATATAAGGAGGAGTCATTCAGAAATTCTGACTATGTAGTACAACCTTTACATTGCTGTGTTAAAAGATGTATTAGGTTCATTGGCATTTTGAGGACATCACCCTGCACAGCAGTTTGGGAGTCTCAGAGAGTAACAGATGTTTAACTACTCTCTCTTGCCACTGCTTTGTTGTCCTGACACTACCCACGTCTTTGTGTGTTAACCAGTTCTACGTGTGTCTGTCTCCTCCTCCAATTCACAGAGCCCTGTTTAGAACTAATCAGTGGTCCTCCTCTCCGTTCCCCCCCTTCACGTCTCCCTCAGAGCTTCATCTTAGTGTGCTGTCCACTTAGCGTTCACAGTTCTAAGTAATAATCATCCAATCTCAACTCTCCTCCTCCCACCTCGCCTTTTCTGTTCCTCCCCCTTGTCCTCCTCATTATCAGTTGTGATGGCTGTCATCAATCAACTCCTTTTGACCATCACTGAACTTTCCAACCCTCGACAGCCACCCCTGCTAAACCAGGAAGTGTTCTATTCCCTCGCGGTCCATTAGGCCAATCAGAATGACACCAGAGTATGACAATGGATACAATGGGAACCGACAGCAGATATTAGACAAGACACAACAATGAGACAAGAACAGCAGGAGAACAACAGGCTTTATTTTGCTGGATGCATTGGGAATTTTAAGAGATTTTCCACTTGACCTAATGTCTCCTGGGATACATGGTTATAATTCACTTAATTAGCACTGGAGCCTTCTTAATCGGTGTAAGACGGAAATCTGTTGTTTTGCGGCAACATTCTAAAAAGTCAAAAGACTGTTTTTTAACTGCCTGCAATACATAAGATTAAGTATTTGGTTCGTGTAACAGTTTTATAACAAAGCAGGGGATAAAATCAATGTAAATGGCCATAAATTCTTCAGGTACTTTCCATTTTGCATGATTGTGTACACCACTGGAATACGGATCACACTGTCAAGCAGTATGATTTGTAACATACCCGTACTTGTAGATACGTGAAACCCGATCCATTTTGACCCTCTTTGGTATGATGCTTTTGACTTTGCAGCAGAGCTTTGAATTAATTGGCCATTGGGTTAACTAGGCTTTCATTTGTGTATGAAAAGAGGTGACATGGATGGCTCCTTAGGGCCACATTGCTGCTCTGCTCTGTGGCATGCTCTTGTGCATTTCTGACCCCATGGCCCGCCTTGTTTTTCAGGTCAGATGTCTGTAGGGTGAAAAAAAAAAGTTCTACTACAAATTTTGGCCTTGTGTTCCAGTTGGTTAACTAGGCTTTCATTTGTGTATGAAAATAGGTAAAATACTGCAATGTTACATGAATATAATCTCAAGATGAGGTATAATTTTCTCTTTAATATTAATTTAAGACTGATTTCAACTTCAGAATACAAAGCTGGTGGCCTAATAAGACAGATGTATGAACTGTGTTTCAGCTATGAGGCAATTAAAAATAAAGAAATGCCATTGATGTAAAAAACTATCAATTTAAGTTAAAAGGATAGATGTGGCCTTAAACACCTGATCTTTCCTTTCTCCTTGCTGTACTAATATACAAAGTATCAAATTCTACTGCTATATGCCTTTTTAATGGACATATTCTGTCTAAACACACTATTGTTAGTATTGTTACCATAACACTGCTAATTTACATAAATAGCATTTTATTCCCACAGAGCGGTTCAGTTTCAGACGGTGTGTCATTAAGTCTACAAACGATGTGGCATTTGGGCTTTGATATCAGTATTTGTTGGGTAAACTTTATTTAGCCACACATATGTCCTCCTTGCACCCTTATCTAATGTTTGACAGATTGCAGTGTTATTATTCCACCGTAGAATTTTACACCCTCAGCTAAATTTTACATTACACACCATCATGGCTATCAAAGGCTATCAGTGGGAAAGAATGATGTAATCTCTGCTGTGATATGTTAAGTTTGTGATAAAAGTTACAAAATTAGTTCTAAATAACTAATTCTGGGTAAAATATGCACATCGTGTGCTTGTTCTGCACCTTATCCGTCACCATACATGAAAGCAACAATATAACTAGTTATTGTTCTTCCACATTTTTAATGGCGCCAAATACAAACCAACAGTACAGACAGATGTCCTCCTGATTGTATGATGACATGTTTCACAAAAAAGTACTTGTTGTTAAAAGAATTTAAGAGTGGAAAGCTTTCTCATGGGAGGAGCAGTGAATTTTAGTGATGCAAACTCTTATACGCATTTCTATTTTTTTTAACTCCTTAATATGAAAGGGGCATGTGAAAACATTAAATGACTGACGATGCTGGATAAATGAAGCCATATGCTGGATTTGTATTAAGAAAATAGCACTTAAAGAAGTTGGTGACACTATAACAATATGTATGAACTTTTTTTTTTACTATTTCAGTCTATAGTGGTCCACATAGAGATATTGATATTTGGAACTAGTATAATTTGTGCTCTTAACTAAAAACATTTAAGAATGCTTTACACTGGTGGTCACAAACAAATATACAGAACGTCCACATGCCTGCGCACACTTTGCAGCTTGAAGGAAGATTTTAGGCGATGTGGAGCAGGTCAGCAGGTGCTGGTGTGTTTGTCTTTGACATGAGGAGGTTTGTTTTCCCAGGTATATGACCTGCTCTTATCAGTCCTGTACAGTCCAGCCCGGAAATCACCACTGGATACTGTGGTGAAAGTCTACAACAACAGAGAGTAGATCTTATAAGTAAAATTTTAATATCTCTATCTGAAGCTCACACTGAGATATTTTTCGGAGCAGACGTGGCTTGTGTTGACAGAAAGTTGCTTTACAGTATAATTTGTTTGGTTTTTGGTGAGAGAACAAACACCAGACATCAGGGTTCGTCACCTTTTTTGTAGCGTGTGTACGGCCGTGGCCTGCAAAATGAGAAAATAAGTTTGCTTTTGTCGATTTTACAGCCCATTTATACGCCTCATGGTGTGGTGATGACTGGTAATCATTGCGGCAACGGCTGATAAGAACGGCTGTGTTCGTGTCAGGTAATAAAGTTTAATGAAGAATTAGCTGTAAAATGATTAATTTTATCCTCGAGATTGCAGAAATTACAGTAATAGTCTTCTAGCATTTGAGTGCTTCACAAGCTGGACGTGCAATATAAGCAATAAAAACTGCAACGGTGAGATAGTGTGTGTGAGAAAAACCACACCGACTTCACCTGAAGCTAGGATGAAATGAGGGGTTAAAGATAAACACAGAGATAAAGGCAAAAGAAAGTAAAAGAAAATAGACAGTGAATTCTCACACATGCATAGGAATGGAGATGAGATGTAAAAGCAAAAATAAACCCCACAACTGAACATATTTTAAAATAAAATAATGAGAACATAAACACCAGAGCAATATTTTCAACCACCAATTGTTCAGATACACACCCAAACGAACACAATTGTATGTAATGATTGAAAAGTGTGCTTAAATAAAGTGTTCATTTAACTCATAAGTGCGTCTGAGGGTCCTTTCTGTGCGTGGAGGGCTCTGACCAATCACAGGCGTGCGGGTTTTATGGTGTCTTTGGGTGCCAGGAGTTGTAACGCTCACCACAAGGGTTGTTACGCACGAGGTTAAAGTGAATCGGACTGGAAAGCGGAGAGGAATTAAACTTAACAGACTTTGCGTAAAGTTTGACGGCTTATAAAATATTTTCAGAAATCAGTTCATTCTAGTTTAAGTTTAGTTCAATATTACTTTAGACATCTGAAGTCAAGTGTGCCGTTATAAACTGCAAGTTAGTTCCTTTTTTGGGGTGTGTTTTGGGTCAGAATGAGGACTTCGATTGAAAAATCCAAGAACTTTCGTATTGATGCGCTTTTGGCGCACGGCCTGGAACAGAGGACTTCTGGCGACAGCCTGTCTCCAGGAGGGTTTTACAACGGGACCCCCGAGGAGACTCCACTTTCTACTGGCAGCTCAGAGTCCCCCTCTCCTCATCCAAACCTGACCAACCCATCTCCTGACCCGCCGGCGGTGCATTCTAACTCCCAGATATTCAACCTTTCCCAGCCTGGGTTCGCTGCTCTGCATCAAATGGGTCTCATCGGAATGCACCCTCGGTCCATGTACCCTCTGGCGGCCCTCGGGGGCCAACACCCCGCCTTCCTCACTTCCAGCTTCGGGCAGCTGGTCCAGCCGTATCCGGAGCAAATGAAAGTGGGAAGCATCGCCACTCCACTGTCCCTGGACCCGTGGATCAGAGCAGGAATGATGATTCCTAGACTGGAATATGGTGGTAAGTCTTGAAAAAAAAAAAAACTAAAAAAAACTTTGACTTGAAACGATGGTGGCAACGTCTAACTTTGTTTGATATTTTCCCAGCTATGAAAGGGTTTAAAGTGAGTGTGAAAATAAATATATTAGATAATCTGGTATTTTAATTAAAAACGCCTCTTGGCATTGGTTTTGACATTGACATAATGTCCCCTTAAAGCCAAGTCATATATTGTCATACATATACATAAGAATGCAACTCATATGATGGAGTGAACAACCGAGTTCTCTCACATAATGATAATATTTATAGTTTTTTCATTAAGGTAATGGACCTCTGTTATGGTTTATTACCTACCTTCATAGCATTTCCTCACGGCAATAAATGTTAATAGACAAAGTCACACCATGATGTACGGGCAGTTTGACCTGTGGCGTCCAAACAATAATCTGACACTTTAGGACCTGGCCCTCTGTCTTTCTTTATTTGTTAGGATACTCTGACTTTTTCTCAGATGGCCTCAATGAGAGTAATATTTGTTATTGTGCAAATATATGTATTGACACATCTGTTGTGTAAACAATATGATTTTTTTTTTCTTCTCTTCCCTGTTAGCGCAAGGTCAAGCAGCTCTTCTGGGGAAGTGTCGGAGGCCCAGGACAGCTTTCACTAGTCAGCAGCTCCTGGAACTGGAAAATCAGTTTAAACTAAGCAAATATCTGTCCAGGCCCAAACGTTTTGAAGTGGCCACTTCTCTCATGCTCACAGAGACTCAGGTTTGACGATAATATACATTTTTTTAAAGTTCTATACTGCCACAACTCATGTGGTTCTTGAAATACTAGTTATTATGAAATAAATATAATGTTGACATTCCAATTTAACCCAGTAGAATAAAAAAAATATAAGAATTAATATGATTTACAATTGTTAATATATTCTGTTTTTCTTTTTTAACATTGGAAGTATATGGTAAAATCTAGTACACTGACTAATTTTCTTAAATATTATTTGATATATTTTTTCACAAAATGTTTAGGTGAAGATCTGGTTCCAGAACAGACGTATGAAGTGGAAGAGAGGTCGCAAAGCCAAGGACCAAAAAGTTTCTACCTCACTGACTGACGTAGATAGAAGCAGTATGGATATACACAGTATCAAACCTCATGGTGACTCACTCAGCTCTGGCCCGGAGGATGAAGAAGAGATAGAGGGAGAGAATGAGTTTGAAAAAGAGGAAATAGGGATGAGGGGAGGCTCCTTGGGCTCGATGGGCTTCACAAAGGTTGCTGGAGGAGGATCGCGGAGTTACAGCTCTTACTCAGAAGACGAGATTGAGGAAAGAGCTCCAGGAAAAAGAACTGGAGTTTTTCCATAACTGCTTAAGCCTGCTCTTATTATACATTGTTGCGTTTATCAATGTCTGAAAATACATCACACGGTTCAATGAGGTTAAAAAATGTCATGGCATACCTCCACCACCTTCAACTCTCTGTTATTATTACATGAAACCACCAAAGTGGCATCTTTTTTACTCAAATATTTAATATGATAAAATCCACCCATGCCTTATGACTTAAATTTGTTAAAACATGTAACAGGTTAAAACAAGTAATGTGTATGCATATGCACTCAGACTGAATAGATTTGATTAATTTCCAAAGGTATGCAGCTTGGGATACATTTCTTCTTGGTCAAGGTGCTTTATATAAAAGAAGATGTTGATCTTTCTCACAGCTTTTGGACATTTTTACACAATTTCAGAAGTAGAAAATTAAATGAATGGATATTTTAAAAAAAATAAAAAACTACCATACTCTTGCATTGAAATTCTTTTGACAGTGAAAATGAATGTTGTCTTTTTGTTTATGTTTTTTTGGTTTATCATCTCAATATTGTAGGAAATATTTAATTGGAGACAAACAAACCACATACATAAAATATTTAAAATTGCTGTTGATGTTATGCTTTCCTGGATTAAAAAAATCCAGCTGCTTTTTCTATTTAATCTAATATATTTATGTTTAATGTGATAGAAGTTTTTGTTGAGTTGTCCAAAAAACGAATAAAGCTAATTGACCACAGCATTGAGTACATTTTTTTTAAGACTGGGTGTGTGGATCGATGACTGTAATTTATGACCTTTTTATTTACGCCATTGTATGGTGGAATATTTATGTTTATTTTTTACAAAGACTTCCTGATTGCTAGATGAAAATTGTCCTACTCGGGCTGCTGTCATTTCTATGGCAACCCAAACAATTAACCGCTGCCATGGAAGCGTTGTTTCTCACAAAGTTCACGTTTTCACTCGGCGGAAATGTTGTTATTGTAGAGGAATAAAATTCAATATTGGTCTCCCCCCTTCCTCAAAGGTAAGGAAACGAGTATTACACACTAAAACAGTTTGTAGAAAAACAACGTGTGAGCTAAATTAATATGAGGGCAGGAGAGCTAGCTCATTGGGTGTGAAGGCTATTGTATTAACGTAGAAAACTTCTGAGAATATCCTGTCACTGTGTTACATATATCTATTGACATAAAAAATAACATGAACATAACATAAAAGTTAAATATCTCTCTGTATATTTTTTTATTTTAGAGATGTTAGCCGGAGCACGGGGTTTTGAGCCTTTGGGATCAGTATCTACACGGATGTCCTCCTCCTCTGGAAAGGATACCAAAGTAATGTCCAGATTGTCTCTGTAATGGTTTTTTACACATGCCCCTGAATTACATTTAGGTTTAAATGGGACTCAATAAGAAATTATGTATGGTTGTTACCACAGTCTTTGTTGTTGATTTCATTTGGTTACTATGAGCAGTTTAAGAAAGAATGAGGCATATTACTTGTTCTACAGCAGAGTACAAAACTGATTTGTGAGTGTATCTTTCTACGTCAAATGCCTTGATTAGAAAAACATAATGGTAAAACAATGGACCTGGAAGCACTGCATTGTCCATTGTAGTGATTTTGTACAGATTATCTTTAGACTTTTCAGGTATATTCCGAAGAATTTCATTTAAAAGGGCCCATTTTGATTTTCCTTGTCCACTGTTTTTAGAACGAGTATTAGTTTTATCATTCAAAGCAAGATACCCTGCCTAATTCACAGTTCTAGCTAAAATTTGAATGATTTTTTCTGAAGTGAAGATTGGTATATGGTTCTTATTCCAGCATAACCCTAACATTGACAGATTTATGCAGCATTTGCTACACTTTGTTTTTCCCTTTATTGTAATTAAAACTAGTCTACTAAGCTTACTTTTTTGCATCGCCATACCTTACAGGTTTCAGGGATTCAACCCAGACAACAGGGTGCATGCCAAAGACAATCCTTAGGCATGAAAAGTTGCTTCTTAGGTGTGGAAACAAGGCCAGAAGTGATATGGAAGGACTGGGACCTGGGAAGAGAGTTCACCCAGACTTTGGTGTTAAAGAATATTCATCCCAAGCTGCAGAAACTGCACATTAGGTCTTACAAACGCACAAACGTGATCTGTCACAAGCTGGATAACTTGATCCACAGGATAACACAACCCATTGTTCTTTTTACAGACCTCCCATGTCCAAGTTCTTTTCAACCTCAATTCCTCAGGTAGTTTGTATCAGCCCAGGGACTTCTTTCTCCATGCTGATCTCCTTTACACCACTCCAAAGGGTAACATATTCTCTTACTGAATAGAATAACACATTGTCCCTATTGAATGCATAAATCAAATGTGACCATTTATATAAATAGCAAGTCATTAACTTCTCCTGTTTCATGCTACCTGCCAATGTAATACGTTTTGTGTGCCCATCACATCTGACTGTGTGGGATAGTGTGAATATGAGGACAGCATTGAGTTTCACAGTAAAGAGGGCAGCTTTCAAGTCCACCTCCGTGCCATCATCCCCCGTCATATCCTGGAGATGCCTGATTCCGTGATGCTTCCACTCTGTGCTGTTGAGCAGTCATCACAAACTTGTTTTGTGTTGAAAAACGTCAGGTATCTCTGAATGTTTTGCTTTGTGTTTACATATGTGTGCTGATGTTTTTGTGTTGCGTTGCAAGAAAATTTTGGGGTTTTACTGTACTAACTGAATGCATATTACAGTAAAGTCAAGACATTGTTCCAGTGGGATTGTCCAGCACCATTCCAGCTGAGCCCAGATCAAGGTCTGTTGAAACCCAACCAGGAGTGCAGCATCACCGTGGTCTTTCAACCTCAAGAAGCGCGGGTGTACCAGCAGCAGGCACACTGCAGATTTGGAGACGAAGAGAACAAGGAAGATAGCTGCTGCACTGTGATTGTGCAGGGACTAGGTACATATGATATTGTACATGACTGATTAGTTCAATAGCAGAATTGTGATATGAGACGTTTACTATTGCAGTTAAGGTACACATTGTGTTATTCTTGTGGTTGAACTTCACTTCTTTATTAGATGCATAGAACACCTTGCATGTTTATTTTTTTGCATTTATATAGACATCTTTATTTTTATTCCCCAAAGTCAGAGACAAGTGTTAGTGATTGGACCACATTATGTTCAGAAATGTATTAGAAAACTATACATAAGGGTCTGAGCATCCAAATCTGTCATTTGTCCTTTCCAGCTAAATACCCATATCTTCAGATAAGAAATCCTCTGTGCAAAGATGAAGAAGACAAATCAGGGCTTCACTTTGGGCCTGTGGGAATAGGTCGGAGTTTACGAAAACACTTTGACATTGTGAACCCTTCTCCTGTAGGTAACACATAAAAACACAAACTTAAACATGCACTCTTGGCTATCATCTGTCTCATCTCTCTTTTCACTCATCTCCCTCAGGTAAATGTTAGTTTTTCTCTATCACACCAGCCTGGTCTGGGGAACATGTCTGAACCAGAGTTCCACTGTGATGTCACTGAGGGTGAAGTGCCATCTGGTGGATCATTGCGGGCTTCAGTCACTTATTCTCCTGCTGTAGTGGACACATTCTCTGTTGAGTACTTGACTCTAAAATATAGGGGGGGTCTCAGTGAAAGTCAGCTCAAGCTGTCTGGGAAATGTAAAGGTAAGAGTCACATGTACGGTATACAACTTAGAAATCCAGTGTTTTTTATTATTGAAAATATATGTTTGTCTTCTCCAAAATAATGATCCTATGAGGAAAATATATATTTGTATTTAGGTCCTACAGTTTCCTTGTCATCTTCTGTGGTGGCATTTGGATGTGTTGAAGAAAGTGAATCGGTAGAGCAGACAGTGGAGATAGTTAATTCTTCCACTGTTGAGGCTATCTTCCAATGGGAAATTGATTGTGGAAACAGTGTATTTAGCATTCTACCAGCAAGTGGCACTGTGCTCCCACAAAGCCTCATCACACTGAGAGTAGTTTATAGACCGACAAACCCTATGGCAAACTACAGAAGAGTGACATGCTTCGTACTACACAAAGTAAGATTTTCAAATGCACACAGACTCATGTACGTAAACAAAACCCTTACAATCTTAATAATTCATCACTTTAGGATCCATTGTTTCTGGACCTGATTGGTACCTGTCACTCAGAGGACCTGAAACCAGTTATTCTAAAACCAGAGCATTTGATTCTTTACAAGCTTCACTGGTACCAAATGCAAGACTCTTTAGAGTCCTTAAATGATACAGACATGGACCAGCAGGGAGGACACTTCAGCACGGAGGAGGTATTATTCTCCAAAAAGGGATTTTCTTGTTCAGTACGGTTAAAACAAACTATTGGCCACATATAAACAGCTTGTGTTCCTCACGAAGGATGCCGTATTGGTTCTTTTTCTTTTTCGTTGTCCAGCTGTCAAATCAAAAGCCAGGCAGTGCCACTGTCATGTCAAGCACAGCAATGGAGGAATTTTACCAGACATGCATGGGGTGTATGGATCCTCCCTCTTCAAGATGTTTTTCAACCCCACATGTGTCTGTGGTGCCAAGTGAACTGCTGTTTAATCACAAAATGGCATCCTCTTCGTCTGCTTCATCCGCTTTCTCACAGTCTGTCTCCATTACAAACCACACCAGAAGGAAACTCAGGTAGCTCTGCATGTCACGGGTCTTGTTTTGTCACGACTGCAGTAATGTTTTTTTTTTATCTTATTGAAAATGTATCCTTTATAACTGTTACATTTGTTCAACATTGACACTGTTTATGTCACATTTGATCTTGTTCTAGCCTGGTGTGGACTGTTGTCCAAGATTCTCCATTCTGTATATCTCCTTCATCATGTGACCTGTCCCCACTGAAGTCCACTTCATTCTGTGTGACTTATGACCCCAAGAGGCTCAACACCCTGCATGGAGCACAACTTGAGTGTTTTGCACACCATAAGGTAGGAATCTTCAACAACCTACATGAAAGTGAGAAATAGAATCTTTCTTATTCGAGTTGAAATTACAGAGGCATGTCTTTCACCCATGTTTCATTAAAGAAATAAACTGTGAAGCTTTGTTGCTGGTGTCATACAACTATAAATCTCTTTGCTGCAGATCAGCCCTGATTTAAAACAACTGTTGTGTCCACCTTGGTGTGTGACTGTCAGAGTAATTGGACACTCTTTTCAGCCTGGAAAAGAACACTTTATCCCAAACTGCTCCCTGAGGCCTTCTCAAGTGGTAAGACAGAAGCGCAGACCTCTAATTAAAGTTGAATACAGTAATAGGCACCAATGCTGAAAAATGTTTAGCTTTTTTGCAAGATATCAGTCACTAAAAATGGTAGAAAGCAAATATTTCCTTTCATTAGAAAATAGGTAAAATATTTTTCGAAGCAGCAACCAGAGACTGTGTTTAAACAAACAGGTGATCAGTTAAGAAAATGCATTTAGTTAGCTTTGTTCATAAAACATGAAGATTTTATGTTACCTCAATAAATCAAAGCACAAATAATCAATGTAAAAATGGTCATAGGCATTATAGCCTCATCCAAGATATGTTCAATGTATCTCCCTCTTTCTGACAGGTTTTTCCAGCAAATGATGTCATTTCCTATCGGACAGTGAAACTGCAAAATGATGGAAACCTGCCTGTCACATTCTGCCTGGACCACAAATCAAACCCCTTGGCTGACTCAGTGAATTTACAGCCAATCTGTGGTTTGATCCAGCCAGGGGATCACCAGATCCTCACCATCAGAACAATTCCTAGCAAGGACAGTCCTAAAGAGGGGATCAACTTATCTTTACAGCTAAATTCATCTAAGTTCACCAGGGTACCACATTACACAAAGACATAGACAAAGAAGACATTAAAACCCATTCACATTTTTACTGTTTTATACCTATAATCTGCAAATGTGTCTTTCTTTTAGGATCTGACAGTTGTCAGTGTGGTGGAAAAGCCACGTGTTTCTTTGGAAAATGGCAGCAAATTGTATTTCCATCCAACAGCAGTGGGTTCACGATCCCAGCACAGCAATCACATCAGAAACTTAAGCCGCCTGCCTATATGGTTACTTAATTTATTTAGTTTTACCTATTCCTGTAGTTGTTCTGCTCCTGTTTTCTAATATTTTCATTTTATGTTTGTTATTCTGACTTTTCTCATCATTATTAATCTTTTCTGCGTCTGACTTTCTGTGATTGTTCTCCTTGACAGCTTTCAGTGGAACATTCCAGAGTCAGACCAGGAGTTTATCTTTGTCAAACCAGATGCTGGTGAATTACATCCAAATGACAGCTCAGTGAGAGAATATATATTTATCATTAGCCACACATAAGTTACTCATTAAAAAAAGATTTACCAAGTGTTATTCTGTATTTTACAACAGATCCAGATGTGGTCCTTCAGTCCTCAAGCAGAGAGAGTATACACAATCAAACCCACTCTCACCTTTTGGCCAGTTCAGAGTGATGGATCAGACAAGTCACACCTTACCTTTGAAGTGGTTGGAATGGGATTCAGTGGTTTTTTGGAGGTTAGCTCGCCACTGTGTTTGTGTAGAACCTTATTTTATACTGGTGTTTTAATACTTATTAAATCAGTTTGGGTTATTCAAAATTATTATCCCACATAGTTTTAAAGCATTAGTTTTGAATCTCAAACAAAGATGTTTCCTTTTCCTACTCAGGCAGAGAATGCAGTCCTGGACATGGGGGACACTCTCGTGGGAAGCTGTCATTCAGTTGAGGTTCCACTTGTGAACAACAGTCCATGTCCTGTTTCTTTTTGTCTTTCTGTACAGCACGTACTTACAGGCAATCACCCTTCATATGACTCTGAACCAGAACAAAGTGGTAATTTTTATAAGTTCTCTACATATTGATATCCAGCTTCATGTCTGGCCAGTATGTAGTTTGCATGTTATTTGACATATGCCCTCATTTCTGCTCATTTAAGACCTGCAGCTGTGCTCTGATAGGGGAACCATTGCATCATCTTCCAAAATGCTGATCCGATCAGCATTCAGACCACGCAGACAAGGCCAGTACCTCTGGACCATCAGCTACCAGATTCTAAATGTCAATGGTAAACAGGAGATTTACACAAACAGCACAGTTTGATGTACCTACCATTCAATTATTGTCTATACTTTTAGGCCTACATCTCTCTCTCTTTCTCTGTGTCTGTCTGTTTGCAGGGTCTGTATTAGGGAACCCTAAGACACTGTGTGAAGTGCGAGCTAAGGGAGTGTTTCCTAGTTTACAGGTGATTGATGGATGTGCTGGTGGGAGTGTGGAAAGGGTCAATAGGGTGCATTTGTGGAAACTCTTCTCACTGGACAGCCTCAATCAGCACCTGCTGTCCACTTCCTCACCTAAAGAAGACCCTTTAAAATCCACTGTTAATCAAAAGTTAGTTTGACACATCACCATTGAGTTTCATTATAAATGGTGTGGAATGTTTGATACCATAGTTTTTTTGTGTGTAGTGTGTGCACAAGACATTTTCTTCTCTTTCTGGCTTGCAGTTTTCCTTCAGTTTTCACCAAAACCATGTTGGATTTCAACTTCAGTTCTGCTCCTCTAAATTCAGAACCCTCTCATTTTGAGTTGATGTTTCATAACCCTGGTTCTATCCCTGTAGACTGGTATGTATACGACAGAATTTATGAAACAGAGTCATGTTCATTTATTAAATGGTGAGAATAGACTTAAGTGTGTGACACTGAATGAACATTTTGATTCTTCTTTTTTTGTTTTAATTGTAGGGCTTTCTTATTTCCAGAGGACCAAAAGATAGAGTTAGATTACTGGGCAGTGACCGGAGAGTACAGCAGCAAAGAGCTGTACCAGATGAAGGTTTGGCATTTCCTTTCAGTTGAAAGAAAAAATTAAACCAATGGCTTAACTATCTATAAATATGATATTGCATTAAGAATTATTGAGAATTCAGAAACTGAATTACTAAAACTCTCATTAATCTTATTTACAGATTCAAGACAATCAACTCTTCAGTGTTTTCCCTCGTTCTGGAACTTTACTGCCTAAACAGAAGAGAGCCGTACACTTCTATTATAGGTCAGGGATCAATGCACTGCGCATAACAGATTTGTAAAGTTAAAACTAACCATTGATGTTTAAAATGATTTTGACTGCGAATGTTTCTAATGTAATGTAAATTGACGCTTCTCTTATATGGATAAAAAACACTATCATTATTTTGTACAAGAATACTCCAATGCTTTTCCTTCACAGTCATGACTTTGTTGGAACAGACCGACTTCCTGTTGTGTTTAAACTCTCTTACGGCAAAGAGATCCTGGTGAGGTTTATATACAACGTGTGTTTATTTACTTTAAGCAACAAAATGATAACGATTTACTTGCGAAATACAGTAGACTAGAAATTGCATTGTTATAATTGGTAGTTGTTCTCTTCACTATTACTACTCCATTATTGTCTGTTGATAGTTTTTTCTTTTAACTTTTCTTTCTCAATGTTTTCATCAACCATGTGTTATTTTTCTTTTCTTGTGCAGCTGAATTTCCAAGGGGTCACTTTAGACAGGGATACACCATATCTCCACTTTGCCTCTAGAAGACATGTTTTCACATCTGTAAATATTGGGGACAGCAGTCCTCCAAGGCAGGTGTGTGCTTAAGTCTCTGATATTTAACTGAAAGCATATTTTCTAATACCTTATTTTTTAAACTCCAGCCTTGTTAACATTATACCTTGATGTTTTTGACTAAATCTTATATTTGCTGGAATTTATTTCCTGTACAGATGTATGAATTGCACAATGGTGGGGCAGTGCCAGTCCGTTATGAGGTGGATACAGCTGTCTTGACACAGCTTCAGATTAACAACTTCAATCATCCATTGCTGCGTTGCATCAATCCAGAAGGAGAAGTGCTTCCAGGAAAAAGCACAGTGATCGAATGGATCTTCTCTCCACTAGAGGCTAAAATGTACCAAGTATGGACTAACCCAAACTTTCTTTACCATCCGCTACCTTTTGAACTTTTCACAACATTTATTTTTCATGGCACCATGTTTCACTAAATGTGTATTTTTTTAGTTACATATTAGGACCAAATATTGATAAAGTAATGATTTTTCACCTGTGATTTCTGTGTTTCCATCTTTTTCAATTCTCAGATGGATGTTCCTATCCACATTCAGGATGGGGCATTGACACTGGTCAGGTTTGAAGGATGTGGGCTTGATACTCCAACACTCGGCTCCTCAAACTCTTGCGCATGCAATGACAGTAAAGCTCCGGTTCACTGTTTACAGAGGGTTCCCTTCCCAGGACAGGTAAGATCACCTGTGAATGTTTCTCATATTTTGGAAAGGAATGTTTTTTCTTTTTGTAATACTAGTAATAATTTAAATGTAATAATATTTTGAAGTATATACATTTTTTTATGAGTGCAGGTGTTAATCCTGTCTGAAAACAGCGTCTTTCTTGGTGACATCGTTGTTCGCTCACGGTCTTCAAGAATCCTCTTCCTCACCAATGTGTCTTACACAGACACTGTTCAGTACACATGGGAGCTGCCACAGCAGAGCAACCAGCAGGTTTAGTTTTCCTGTTAAATCTGTTCAGAGTTAGAGCTTCAGGTTTCAAAACCTTTCTGACCTGATTTGCTGGTGCATGTCTTATGTCAGGTGGTCCAGATCCATCCCGAGCGAGGCTACCTTGGTCCCGGGGACTGTGCTCTTTGTGTTCTTACCTTCACTGCTACTGATTACCCCACCATTTACATGCTCGATCTGGTCTGTCAGGTATTACAGATGTGGCATAGTAGAATTAAGAATGCATTAAGTGGCAGATTGTTCTACTTTCTATAAAACAACTTTTACAACTAGTTTGACAGACAGTTCTTTCAAATATTTTGTATATCCCTCCCCTTTTTCTGAAGTATATTCAGGAATCTGCAATTGCCAAGTATCAGGAAGCTTTAAAGGCCTGGGAAGATGAAAAAGAAAGACAGCAATATGAATTAATAAGCACGGACAAAAATATTCTGGAGAAACAAAGAATTCTGACTGATGAGGTTTGATTCAAGCAACAATTTTTTTTACATTTTGAAATTATGTAACAGATTTTAGTTCAATTTAATCTACATGTATTTCATTTTAAATACAGGAACCTTTAGCAGCACCTGCAAGGAAAGGCCCACCACTCAGAAAATATAAGGTTCCCTTTATTTGCGATCATTACTAATCTTAAAAGAGTGTATTAAAAAAATACATTTTTAAGAGCGCATTTTATGCACTCTGTCTTTCTATTACCTCTCCAGACTCTACCTCCTATTTCTGCATGCAGTACTTGGGAAACAATTGGCAGCTTATGTTTCAAACAAACAAAATCTATGCAGCGAAAAATGCGACAAACAGCAAAAGTATGGAACAAGCCACTTCCCCCCAAGCCTGCGCTGTTGCATCTAACTGTTACAGCACACTCCCATGGACTTCTGGAGTACCTCACACACTTTCCTGATCAGTACACAAAGATCTGCAGGTAATCTTTCGTACGGTTAATGTAACTGAGGAAATAACTGACTTTGAAATGTCAGACATGCTAATACAAAAAAAGCTCACATTTGAAGTTTTGGAAATGATAATTTATGTTCAAGTAAGAAAGATCTAATACCATCATATGACTAAGGCATCCAATTTTCATTATCTTTTTTATCTCACAGGTCCTTTCAGTCAAGTAAGTTCCAGACACCTGTAAACTGTCCTGCAGATGATGCTTTTAAACCACCACATGACCCAGACAGGGACCTCCTTGTGAACATACTAGCTCCTTTGTTAAGGTAACACACAGATTATGTAGAGCAAGGGTTTGCACACAAAACATGGCAGACTTTTTTTTAAACATAAACTTGGTTGTTTGATCTGAAATGACAATTTGGCTATGGTTGATATGCAGAGAGGGGCTCTATAGAAAATAATCATCTCTGTCTTTCCAGGGATGTACTTGTTGATCCAGCCTTCATCAAATCCATGATTACTTTATCTTCAAAGCCTTGCATCTACAAGCCCAAAGAAATGCCTCCCACTCTATGCCCAACAGCACTATCACCCCCCCGCCCCCCTTCTTCTCTCTCAACAAGCAAACCTCACTTTCTGTTGAATGGGACAACTGACAGGAAGGAGACTGCAGTACACTTTGAAAACAGGCCTCAAACACAGACCACTCATGAGGTGGTTTTGATGAACACCCTGCAGAACTTGATGATGGAAGCTGTTAGAGGGGAACTTGTCTTAACATCATGCCCAAGCACCATCATACTGCCACCATTTTCAAAAAGGTAAATACAATCACCACTTTCACACAGTGTTACCTGCTTCTTCTTTTTTAAATGATTGGTTAACCTTTTCTCTGCTCCATTAGAAGCATACAGAAGTCCAGACCCATGACTGAGGAAGACTAGCAGATGCTCAAGTGTCTCCATTTGCCCGATTCCCAAAGGTCTGCGTACCTCTTCCTATACTTTCATTAAAATCAAATCCAGCTAGAAGAATTTGATATCTCCATCTTTTTTTTTCTTTTGTGGTCCTGCCCCTCATAAATATCTCCATAAAAATGTAACTAAAGACATACATGCTGCACCAGCAGAGAGCATGATAACAGATAAACTATATTTACATATTAGGCTTTCCAAAATTAGGAAAGTTTATCTGTGGACAGAAAATAAAACCGTAAACAGAATGAGCAAATTGCTATTAATGTGGTACTATAGTTAAATGTTTTAATAAATCTAAATATCGAGTCAATTTGGCCCAGTGTTTTTGGTTATAAAGAATTTCCTCTAACCCACTGGATGAGGCAAATTATGGTAGATTTATTCAACAAAAAGGCATATTTCAAATCATTCACATCTCATTATACCTCTGTCTTTGTTTCAACTGTTATCGTAAAATGTACATGTTTTTATGCACATTACTGTATTTTTGTTCTCAAAGTGATCACATAAATGTACATTACTACATAGCAACAATGAGCTACCATCAAAAAGCCCATCTAGTGTAACATTCAAGTGTACATTGTACAGGCAGAAAAACAGATCAGTTAATATGAACCCCTCCCTGTTGAAGGCCTTTAATTCATCTTGGTAACAAACAAACAAAATAACAAACAAAATAACTTAAACATACAAAAGAGAT